AGAAATTTATAATCCGCGCAGCGTTTCAAAAGGCAAATTAAAAAAAAAAAACGTAAACTTAGCTATGTTCAAATTGAACAGTTAATTTTTTTTTTTTTAAATATGAAACCTAGAGATCCCCAAAGTTAGGTCCGCGAATCGGGTCGGAACTTGAAAATTTTTCTTAAATATATCTAAATTTATCAATTTTTATAATTGAATCTTTTAATGTAAAATAACAATATTTGATTTTATTTATTGAAAACTAAACGACATACAACATACATGTCCTTTATTTTGAGTAATTTATAAAAAATTAATTAAATAAATTCGGGCCGGGCCGGTAAAAAATTTCGGGTTCGGGTCGGGCCGGCAAAACTTTTTTAAAAAATATGCTGTCAAAATTAAACGAATGCATTTAAAAATGCATTATATTCGCTTTTTTGAAACGTTCATGTGCGCAATTATTACGTTAAATCGTATATAAATATGATATTTTTAATAGTTGAAGGAAAAGGTGGAAGGTGGAGGATTGGGATGCCAAGGGTACATAAAAAAATATATTTTTCACTTTAAAAAAAAAGTAATTATATTTTTAATTTTTCTCATCATCATTCCTTATTTTTATTATTTTTATATAATTATTAATATATGAAAAAACCTCAAAAAAACTTAATTTTTTCTTTTTTGATTTTATTCTTATTTTTCTTTTATATATCAAGACTTGATTTTTTTTTTACAAAAAAATTGATAATTATTTTATATTAGAATTCTCGGAACTGACGATGTGATGCATTCATTAAAAAAGTGTACATGAATGAAAAACAGCAGTGGACCCCATTTTGGTAGCCCATAATGTTAAAACGAGAGGCCAATTAATTCCTATGCCCGACGGTAACTTTATTAAAGGATTTGCCTGATCATCGAGATAATAAGGAAGCAAGTTAACAATTTGATAGTAGTTTTTTAACATTAGAATAATTACTTACATGGGTTACCAAAAATGGCGGGTCCAGCTGATTTGCATTCAACGACGCTGTCAGATGCATTATTATGAATGCAATGTCAGTCTAGGCATTGTTATATGTCATTAGAAATGTCCTGCCCAAAAAAGGCGCAGAATAAAAAAAATTTACCTTCAATTTTTCAAAAAATAAAATTTAAACATTTTTAAAATTACCAGCCAACCTAACCCCCCTTCCTTTTTTTTAAAGAATTTATTACAGAAAAATTACTAAAATTTGGGATATTTTGTCGGGGAATACTCTTGATCCGTTCCACTTCTGTCCGTAATTCAAATCTCAGAGAATCCGCATTCAAACCCGGCCCAATTTTCCCCGAACCGGTATCACTTCTGTCCGTAATTCAATTCTCAGAGAATCCGAAGGGGGTCAAAATTTGAGACCCCAGAAAATTATTTTCAAACCCGGCCCAATTTTCCCCGGACCGGTTACATTTATTTGATCATTTTACGACTCAGCCGGTTTTATCTTTCAATCCAACTTTTTAATATTGCCTGCAAGTTGTTCAGAAAATTCTTAAAAAAAAAAGAATTTCATGGTCAAAATAAAATGAATAATTTTTTTTTTTAAATAAAGGACATCTAAAATAAAAAATATTTTTGTATTATTTTATTTTGAAGAAAAAGATACGAAAAAATAATGACCTTCTTAAATTATAATTTTTTTTTACATAATAATTACTTTAAAAAATATACGCGTAAATTTTCGTATTTTATTTTGAGGTTCATTTATCATTATAATCATTCGTGAACTTGACAATAGATTTAGATTTGTGCTACTCTTACTTAAATGGACTATTGTAAAATAAAATAGTGTTGTTAAAAAGAAAGAAAGAAAGAAAGAAAAACTCAATATTTAAGCCAGAAAAATAATTGCCTAAGCCTGGAGGCTTGGCTAATAGAACGTATACATTTGTGCTTATCTATGACTAAAATTTTCAGGTCTTGCGTAATATTTTTTTTCTGGTTAAAATATTGAGTTAGCCGTTTAACAACACTAATTGTAAAATGAATTGGTAGAAGAGATAATCGTGTCAAACGCATTTGAACAACATTAATTTTTAAAAATTAAAATATTTTTCTTTTTAAACTTTATATAAGCATCTGTTATTTCTTGCTTTTTTTTTATATTAAAGAGATCATTTATGGAAATTATCTTTTAATGTAAGAAGCCACGTCAGCACATTCTTCGTGGCTTGAAATTTAATTATAAATGCCTGCACTTAGCATATTGCGACTTAACCGATTACAAGTCGCATTTATGTCCATTCATATCGTAAGTCAGGTCTCGTCAGAAAAAACGGAGATGCCATTTTTCCTTGTGGAAGCATTATTTTTCAATAAATATCTGATTCAAAAATATTTTTTTTTGTTTAATATTTAAATAATTTTATTTTAAATATTTATAAAACGAAAAGGTCATTTGATTTTAATCATTTTTATAATATAATATTTATTTTTTTAAAATAATTATAAGTTAAAACACGTGACCTTGTTAAAAGTTTTAATATATATTTTTATTTCTTGCTTTTTTAAAAAAAAACATATCGATTTAAATTAGGAGAAAGCTAAGAAAAGTTGTTTTATTTTTTTAAAAAAAAATTTTTTTTGATTTAATACCAAATATATCATATGACTTTTAAAATTTATAAGCAAGGAAATTAAGTTAAGGAGGTATAAATAAGGGAGGGGCAATATGGTAAGTGCCTGATTTGGACTAGGGTTACTTTTATAATATGAGGGAATATAACTGGGTTTTAAAATAAGTCACGTGCATGGGTAATCTAACAGGTCCTATCTACGGGTTCGGACCTGGGTGGACGGTCCCGTTTAATTTTAATTAAATAAAATCGTGGGAGTATTAACAATTTAAAGTTCTTGAATAAAATAAAATAAAATACTATTGTAACCAAAACTCGGTTCTGGGGTAGGTTTGATACTTTCGATAAAATTTTTTCTTTTAAAGCTGCTTTTTATTTTGAAAATCATTTAAGTCCCTAGAGGAGTGGTTGACTAATAGCTCGATTTTTAAAAATGGTTGACACGATATTTTCGCGGCAAAATACTACGCGAGCCTAGATATTTTGTGGCAGAAAGTTTTGGGCACCTAGCAAACGAAATCACGAGGCTTGCCTGCCTAATAATATTTTGGCTAAATAGACCTGTTTAACGACACTAATTTTGAGTATATATCTTTTAAATAATAGGAGGAAGGTCATTAAAATTTCTTTAGATACAACCCCCCCCCCCCCAAGCTATAAAAATCAATTTAATCATAAAATGGATAGTGAGTAGAGTATGTAGGTTGAATAAAGGGGTGCATCCATTCCACCCAATGTTGCCCCGAAATTAGTGTTATTAAGAGCCCAGTTTTGGCCATTTTTTTAAAAAATGGCCACTATTATAGTGCAAACAAATTGAGCGTTTACGTTTTGCCGTAATTTTTAAATATCCTTCGCTTCAAAATTTAAAATAAGTTCTAAAAAAAAGGATTTGTCTTTGAAATTATATTATCGTCTGCCTCCTTATTTTTTTAATGTCTAAATATTCCTTTTAATGATAAGAGAGCTTGTGATGACAAAGTTAATGAAAATTCTACTAAAAAATTTAAAGTTTATTAAATTAAAATTTTATATACTTAATTATATTAGGCTGATATTATTGACCAATATCAATTATTTTCATAACCAACTCAATTGATTACAAAAATTCTATGTATAGTAACAAATTTAATTATAATTCTGTTTTCAAATCAATATTATCATCTCCAAATGATGAATGGTATATACAAGTAAGTTATTTATATTACATTTTTATATAATATTTACAAAGCGAAGAATAAAAAAAAAGTGACGAAAAAGCAAACCTTAAAATGGTTGCTAACGCCAAACGGTAATTTTTACCAATTTTGCACGAGGCCATTTGAAATGCGTTATCTGCGCTTGCAACGCTCAATTTGTGCGCACTATTAAGCTTCTTAGCCAAAATAATATTATGTAGGCCCTAAAGATTTTGCTCATAGATAGAAGTAAAGGTTTGGAACATCTGTTTGACAAATTTCGAGGCTTAAGCGTTATTTTAGCTAAAATCTTAATCGGGCCGTTTTCGAAAATCGAACTAAATGGGCCTCTTTAACAAAACTACCTGAAATTAAATATTAAAGCTGTGAATTTTGGGAAAACACTATCTTTTTATTTGATCTACTTTTGTTTTTAAAAATAAAATAATAATATCTGAAATCTGGGAATATTATTTATAAATAATATATAGTATAATAACAATAGGTGTATATATTTATATATATTATATGGTTTGATATATTAATACTTTGTTTCATCTTGTTAAATACATAATTTTTGAAATATTATAATATAGATAATATAATATTTTTAAAGGTATAATTTAAAAAAAAAATAGATAGTGATTGAGAGGGGTTGGAGACATTTATTATTACATAGTCTTTGACTTGACATATTTTTGATTAATTTCTGCAGCAATATTTAAAAAAAAATTTTCTATTTTTTTAAACAAAATAATTTTATTTTTGAGGTGTTTTTTTTTAAAAAATAATATATATATTTATCAAAAATGTAAGTGAGCAAATTGATTTTGTATGTTTTTGTTGTTGTTTTTTTGTTTAATTTGACGATATTTAAAAAAATAAAATCTAAATATAAAATCTAAATATTATTACAGTGGTAAAATATCTAAATAATAAAAAAATAATTCAACAAAATGAAGAATATTTGACTAAGAAGATTTTATAATACTTGTATTTATATCAAAATTATGCATAAGTAATCAGGATTCTTTGATGCATAAATCTCATCAAACAGAAAAAAACATAATTTTGTTTTTTTCAAATTTTGAATGATTTTTTTATTTTGTTTTTTTACTTTTTAAAAAAATTAAAATAATATGTAATCTAAGTTATTTTTTTTTATAATCTAGATTTTTTAAAATATTTTCTATAAAAATATTTAAAAATATAAAATAAAGATATGTACAAAAATAAATGATATTATATTTATATAAATGTAAATTGGATGTTTTTGCATTCTTTTTTTTGTATGATAGTAATGATTAAATGAATAATATTTTCAACATTTAAAATAGTGTTTAATTATTTTATTTATTTATTTATTTTACAAACAAAGCCATTTTACAAAAAACGATGGCAGGGGAATATTGATCAGCTCAAGGCAGGCCTTTTTGACAAAATGAAAATCGGGGTAATTGCAAAAGGGGCATTCTAGTCTTCTGGAATAGTGAGTGTAATATTGGTTAGGATTAATAGAAGAAGTTCCAATATTGCTCGGGTAGCCATTGGTAGTTTGGCCATAGGGTGATTGTTCAAACCCAAAATGCTTGGGGGAGCAATTATTAAAATGAGAGGAAGGTTGAACACCATTAGATACCGGAGATATGGTGGCTGAGCACATGTTGCACTTGGATCTTTGATTGCAACAGGGACTAGAGTTGAGGACGTCATATGAGTAAAGAGTGCCCACTGTGAATCTGGAACCATCCCATGGTGTTTGGCAGTAACGGCACACAGGAAGTGTAAGATTTAAAGCTGATAATTGTGGTGGCTGTGTATTGTCTGTTTTCTTCCAATCTGTGTTCTGTAAAGTAGAATCAAAGTCTCCCTTTTCCCCCTTTAACTGGTTGATAGTGATTATATCATCACTATCTATATCATCTTCTCCAGTGTTTGAGAAATGGCTTGATAAATTAGATGCTTCCTTTATCAGCTGTAACCATTTTGCTCCACTGGAGCAATCTAAGCATATAGCATTCAAATATCGAAATTGATTGGTGCTATTACCACTCATATCTCCACTGGGAATAGTCATTCTCAATTCAAAATATGTTTTGTTATCTCCCAGATAGGCTTCTATAGTTGATTGATTGTTTTTATTATTAATGGGAGTGGTGAGCGATGGGTCAAAATAATGATTGACTGGAGACAGAAATAATACACCATCTATGAGAGGATACCTGTCATAGACTGTCATATTACAGGCACATATAACGCAAGATAATTGTGTTCGGTTTAGAGCTGACAAACGGGATAGTATGGAGTAGCGTGTTTCATCATTACCTATAAGATGTTTTAATAATTATCTTAATATTTTGGTGGGGGATAAGCTGGGAACCATTTGGCAATCCTCTTTAAATAAGGTGCTCATCTTTAGTTATCAAAAACTAATATAATGGAGACAATCTTATGGCTATTTTTATATTTTGAAATGAAATTTAAGATTGCTATATAGTATTTCTAAAAACGTGATTAAAAAGTATGATTATTTTAATTTTTAAAGGTTATTTTAAAAAAATAAACAAAACAATTATATTTACCATGAGGTCCTTCATCCTCCATCTTTACGTGGAATGAATTTACAAGAGACCGAGGCAAACGATTAAAGGGTTCATAATTAGATCGATTGGGAAAAGGACAAATTGTATGTACCAATGGCAGTGTCAGAGAATCATTCTGTATCATTGAATTGCCAGTGCCATTATCCTGTTTTTGATCATATTTTTGTAGGGGAAGAACATTGTTGTTATAATAAAAAGACGACCCATTTATAGTTTGCTGATTGTTTGAATTATTAACTGTTAAGGGTGAAGTGGTTGTTATAATAGGACTTTTATTTTGGTAAATATTGTTGATTACATCACCTGACAATCTACCTTGTTGGTAATGCATATTATTATCTGTTTTTATGAATGGACGAAAGTGAGTAGAGTTATTTGAAGATGAGTTTTCAGTACCAGACCCATCCATGGAATCACTTGAATAATTTCCATTAGTCATATTGTTGTTCAAGTGTTGTTTCTTAATGGAATAAGGTGTATTGAAACCTGTGGTGGACTCTTTGTTGAGGCCATTTTGGATAAGGGCCGTGAAATTTGGGATGTAAGAATTCATAGGACTGTAAGAATTATCATCAAATGATGAAAGTGACAAGCTACTGGATAAGCTTTCTTTTCTGAATCTATGAGGATGATTATAAGGGTCATTTTCAATTATGTTGTTAAGCATATTATAATTTTTCCATAACATGTCATTTTTGTTTTCCGAGGCAACAGATACAAAGTAATTATAGCTCTCCCTTTTTAAAAATCCACATTTACATTTGCATTGGCAAATAGGTATATTTAAGTCATACTGATGTTCTTTCCATAATGTTTGTGATATGTATTCTTTTGGGTATATATTATTTAAATTATAATGAACTTGGCTTACAATATTATCCTGCCATATTTCAAAGCATGAGATATGCATATATTTAGCGTATCTACACTGTTTGTTTGAGCATCTGATTTTGATGGAATCTTTAGGAAAATTAATTTCTATTGTATTTTGATTAAAACACCGAAAAGGTGTGCAACAAGATATAAAATTATTATTAACTTCAGATAATTTTAAATTATGCAACTCATTAATATTAAATTTCGTTTCAGATCTCATTTTTTTAAAAATAATTTTTTTTTTAAAAAATTTAAGTTTTCATAAAAAATGAATGAATGGCTCAATATAATACAATTAACCCGCCAATTTTAAATGAGCTGTAAAATTTTTATTAAATTTTTTATAATATATTTAAATATAAATAAAATTCATATAAGATATAAAAAATATATAACATTTATAATACAATATAATAGTAAAACTAATAGAGGAACCATTTATTTTCCTGTCAAGAGGCTAAAGATATTCAACCCGTGTGTCCATCTAGCCGATTAAAATTATCATAGCAAAAGCTATCGCTAACTTCCGGACATAAAAACAATGATTATTAAATTAATCTATTAGTGATACAGGAAAAATGCTTGACTGTCGACGGAATTAGACAACCTAGCTTATCGCCTGTTATGCCCCTTTCATGTTTAGAATCGCCTCCAGTCAGTTGGAGTTATTTTTTGACGCTTAATATTAATTTAAAAAATTAATTATACCACAAAACCAAAAGAGTCTTTCAAAATCACATTAAAAGTGAGGCTAGGATGCTCTTTATAAAATGAGAACTGGATTGCAGTAACTTTACGAAGAACTAATTTAAAATAATATAAGCCGATTACTTATTGGGGCTAAAGAAAACAAAATATATACGTTGAATACGGGGTGGGGTTGCATTTATAAAGTTGTAAGTGCTGTAAGCGTTACTACAAAAAAGAAACGCATAACCATTATTTGTTACGCCTGAAAAAAAATGAACGCGTTACCGTTACTCGTTATCTTTTTAAAAAAGGAAGGCGTATTAATGATTATTCCAAAAAGTAACGTACTTAAAAAATAAAATAATATATACAAAAAAATTATTAATTTTTTTCTTACAATATATAATATACATAAAATTTTACAAAAATAATATATATATAAGATAACATCTTTTTGTAACAATTTTTATTTATTTTTAGCAACAGTTGATTTTCAAAATTTTGATTAGACAAACAACATCGTTTAGTGCTTAATACAGCTTTCGCCGTGCTAAACAGTGACGTCACTAGAGAGAGAGGCGCGCAGGGGCTCGAGCCCCCTTAAAAATTTGAATAGCCCCCTGAAGCAAAAAAAAATTTAATGGTTCCTAAATATCCCCTTGAACTAAAAATTTTTTTTTGATTGCCTCTTGAACGATTTCTTTCTGTTATATTATAGGAATTATTAAATTAAAATATTATATATTTTGGTTATTAAATAGTAATATGTTTAAATTTTATGTAACGCGCATTCATTTAATTAATTTACATATTTAACTTCTTCAAATTATTAGTTTTCTTTTCGTTTTATAACTTTACCTTTTGATTTCATATTCTAATATTAGTTTGTATAAAAATATATTAATACAAGATTAAAAAAGTAATAAAGTGAACAATTTTTTATTAGTTCCAAGCTCTCTTCTTCACTTTCATAATTCTATTAAGTAATATATAGATTTAATTTTATTATTTAAAAATTAAAAAACTATCTAAATTTTTATTAAATGAATACTATTTTAATTATTAGATTTGATTATTACGTATGAATTATATTTTCAATATGTCAGCTTGCAATCATTATGTTAAAAACAGAATATCAATATCACTCACTAAATATTAATTTAGCATTAACAGCTGAAGCTTAATTGACTTTTATTATTTAAATTATAATATAACCCTTATTTTTGTTTTTAGTCTCATTTAGGGCCGAACCATTATGAATGGCAAAAATATTCCAATAATTATTGAAAGGACCTAAATGAACAATTCAATCCCACCCCATGATGGTCTCCACCTCTTTCTTCATTACAAATCTAGGAAAAATGTGGTATCATGGAGAATTACTCCCAACTTAGTTTTTCCCAAATCTACAATTTCCGACCCGTCAAATTGCCTGACGCACATAGATTCTTTTTCAAGTATGTCCCCAGGCCAATACTTATAGTAATTTTTCCTAGACATTATTGAAATGCTAGCCTCTGTGTCGAACAACATGATTTCCCTCGAGTCAATTCTTACAATAACTCTCGGACAAGGACAAGGTTCGACTAATCGCTCAGTCATTAAAATCTCATATATTTCAATTGACTGATCAATATTTATCTCATTTGAAACATCAGTTTCATGAGAATTCACATTTGAACATAAAAAATTAATGATGAAAAATAATTTAAAAAAACGATAAAAAAATGATAATCAAAAAAATCAAAGTTATTATTAAAAATGATTGACATTTCTACTAAAAATAAAAAAAAACATTGCAAACTACAACAACCATAATTAAATTAATATAATCATTTATTAATTGACAATTAACAAATTTAATATTGTAATTAGCCGAGTTCAAAATCACTAATCAACTATAATATTCATTTTTAAATTTAATTACCATGACACTTCCTAAAAATATTTTCAAGGTCCAAATAAGTATAAGAGATTCCTTTATAAAATAAAAAGTAAGTAGACATATAGTTTAGAATCCTCTAATATATAAAATTGATTATAAAACATTAGGTAAAATGCCACTTCAGACGTATTTGACAGTTATATAATATATTGCAGTTAATATTTTAATAAATTTTACTAATAAATGCTTTTGTATATAAATATAAGTAACAATTTGCATTCAATTTTTTAACACCATCTATTTATTTAAAAATATTATTAAAAATTAAACATCTTATTATTCATCCCACAATGGATGTAATAAATTAGATATCTTTTCCTCTCATATTTTAGGTGTTTTTAGGAAAGCTATTTTTTTCTTCTTTGAAAAACAGTTTTGAGTTAAATTTTTAATATGAGTATATTTTTGATATTATTATAAACTACCATTATTTTAAGATATAATATACCAACTAGAGGTGGTGCGACAATAATATATAAAATCTTAATTGTTTTCATTATATCACTCTGGTTTTTATTTTATAGTTACAAAATGTTCCTAGCCATGTAAATAACTCAAGTCTTCATTATATTTGCATAATTACTTCTAATTATTTTTAGTGTTTTTGTTTTATCAATTTATCTAACATAATAAATTCTGATATGAGTTAACAAAGTGGTGTCATGGCTTGGCTATGACTGCTAATTAACCAGCATCTATTATTTGTGTGGCTATGTATAATCTTTTAGAAATATAATATCTTACAATAATTTTCTCGATTAGTGATCTTCCATCATGTCATCTAAGAGGAAGCTCTAAACACCATATAGTTTTATGATTTGGATTGGCCCTTTATATTCTCTTCTTAAAGAATTGTTAATTTGGTTAGGTCTATAAATTTTTCCTATTGCTCCATTATATAAACATTGTGTATATTGGTAACAGAGAGTTATATTGACCTTTTGTCAATGTAAGTTGCTAATGTGGTTTTTAAAAACCATTATCAATTGAGGCATACGTATGAATTAATTAACCTTTTTTATCACTTGTAATTCTTTAGGCGCAAAATTTTATTATATCAGAGAAAATATTTTATACTGTAATTAATAAATTTTGTATTAAAAAATATTACATTTAGAAATGTCTTTTATTGTTTTAATTATTTATTTGCTAGTTTATTTTGTATGTATAATATGATAAATGACAAAATATGAAATTCAAAATAATTGTTCCAAATTAGCAAATCTTAAAAATGTATTATATATGAATATAAAATCCTGCCGAAAGCCCGCAAATTAGGGAGGTATAGGGAGCGAAGTCCTCCATAAAAATTTGTTAGTTGGGCCCCCTGAGATTTTAAAGGCTAGCGATGCCCCTGGTGGTAAACACTTTAATTGGGGCAGAGGATGGGTGACTTGTATTATTATATCTAATAAATAAAAATTATAATTCGGGTAATTTATTAAAAATATTTAAAGAATTAACTCATTTTTAAAAAAAAATCTTAATAGATCATCTTCAAAATGATCTTCATTCATTTCCTCATTAAAAAAAGATCTTTGTCTTATAATATTCTGGTATGTGTGTTGGGTAAAGGAAATAAGTCTGATCTTTCTTTATCAAGATCTTTTCACAAACTAGAAATAAGTTATAGCATTCTTCCTTTGTTGACCTCTATTTTTATCCAGGACCAATCCAATTTAAATAGCGGGTGAATTATTGCAATTAGTATATATTCATCTTTATAAGATGTGTTTGAAATTGAAAATAAAAGATAATCAAAATATAAATTGTATAAGCAAACCTTTAATCTATGCCATCCAGGATTGAATTAATAAGGGGCTTACAAAACTTAAAATTATTTAAAGCCATTTTTTAAAGTTTTTATATTATATTAGATACCGTGGGAGTGAGATATCGTAAATATATTTTTTCTCCGCTCGCTAAAATTGAAAGAGCCGTAGCAATTGGTTCGATAACCTATAAAATCATTTATATACATATCATAGTTCTTGATTAACACTAACCACACAATATTTCTCCATGAACAACCTATCGTTATCTGAAAATCTATGTAATTCAGATTTATCACAAGATTTGTCAAATTTTTGGGCAATTCTCCTTAATAAGAATCGAAAGTGGTAAAATAAAAATAACATCATGTTCTTTGTATATATTATAAAACAAAAATTTAAGATATTAAATAATTTAAATGCATGAAAATAATAATCATTTAAATTTAACAAAAGTAGACCATCTCAGCATTTCCCCCTCTGCGGAAACCCTTCATATAATTCCTCGTGATGTCATTGAGTAGAGTATCATTGAAATCATTTTCATTAATATGCGCAATTGACTTCATAGTTTGGGCTCTAATGACATTATCTAAAGGTTTTTTAAAGATGGCCACTTGATATTGTGATTTAGCGAATTGATGTTTAGTAGTGTTACTTTATACCTCGTTAAATTTTAGGGTAGACATTGTTGTTGATCACATAGAATATCATTTAAAAAAATGTACACTTTTACTTAAATTTCACATTTGGTTTTTTAAAAAAAATAATTTATATCTTTTTATATTCTATTTTTACTTGTACATTACAAGTGTCGTGTACATCAGTGACGAAGCGTTCATAGAAGCAAGTTTTAAATAAACTTAATATTATCTTTGTACTATGCTAAATAAACTAAACTACTTCGTTAAAAAAAATTATTATAATTTTTATAACGTTAAAAAGATTAATATATTTTTTTATAACGTTAAAAAGATTAATAAATTTTTTATAACGTTAAAAATTAATATTATTTTTACTATATTAAGAAATACTTATTTTTACAACGTTAAAAAAGTTACTAAACTATTATTTTTACGTTAAAGAATTTACTATTACTTTTACTACGTTAAAAAAAATATACATGAATTTAATATTGCTTATTTTTTTAAATAAATAAAGAGAAAATCTATGGTATTGAGTAATTTTACCATAAAAAATAAGCATTGGGGAAGCAAATAAAAAAATGCTTATTTTTTTAATAAATAAAAGAGAAGAAATTTTTTTTTATAATATTTTTCCTTAATTTTTTAAAATAAAAAATTTTTCGTTTTCAAAACTTAATTAATGTTTAATAATTGTAATTGTATTATTGAAAATTTATTAACAATATCATTTAGCTCAAGAAATTTTTAATGCAAAAAAATTGATTATTGAAAAATGTAAAAAACCCACAAAACTTAAAAAAAGAAATCAAAACTTGCATTCGTAATTTTTCTATCGATAAATATGAAAAATATGAATGGCTCACTGGATGTTAATTTTCTAATTCACTATATTGTTGGTCCTACCTATTATTCCCAAAGGAAAAATATGTTTGGAATGATAAAGGATTTTCGGATATGAATAATTTTTCAAAGACAGTTAAACGGCACTCATTTCAGTCGATGATTCAATTAAAAACATTTGGCCAACTTCGTATTGGAAATATGATAGATTCGATGCGCAAAATATCAATGAAACAGCATAATTCTAAAGTCAAATCAAATAGAGAAATATTAAAAATATTGATCAACTCTATATGTTTTCTTGGAATTCAGGATCTCGTATTCCGTGGTGATGATGAATCTTCTAATTCAATAAATATAGGGAATTATATATGATTAATTTATTTGCTCGCGGAAGAAAATTTACTATTGAAACATCGTTTAGAAATAGTGCAGTTTTTATTGGACTATCAAGCAATATTCAAAATAATTCGATTAATTCTATTTCATATGTCGTACACTAAAAATATTAAATTTGTCGAATTGTTAGATATTAGTAAATTCAAAATAATCAAAATTTCCCAAAATATTTATTAGATAATTTAAACGACACTTATTCTCAATTTTTTCACTTACACAAGCAGGAAACCGAATTAAAAATAATGTTTCGGTATGTTGAATTTAGAAAGAAATAGAAGGTTAATGAAATACTTAAATTTTTAATATGCACAGATTTGATGAAAAGTTTTAAAGAGTTTTTTAAATTATGCAAATTCATCTTAACTTTGGCTTCATCAAAAGCAAGTGCAGAACGGAGTTTTTCATTTTTAAAAAGAATCAAATCTTATTGCACAAACAGGATGAGCCAATGATTTCGATTAAAAAAATTAAAATCTAGCGATAACTTTTACTCAAAAACAAAGACGCATACCACTTATTTATAAATCTTAATGTTTTAATGGTTTGAGTTTGACTAAAATAAAAAAAAATTTTTTTTTGATTGCTTCCCTAGTAGTAAATTTGACGCTTCGTCACTGGTGTACATTAATACATCTTAAATTTTTATTAAGTTCATATCGAATTATTTTGTTATTTTTTATTTAAAAAATGAACGATAGTAAAATTTAAAAAATAGGTAATCATTACAAAAATTTTAACCTGCTTTAAGTTTTTATACTTATAATCAAAAGCAAAGTAAATGTTCAATAAAAAAATATTGAATGGTAAATAATTTAATATCGACAATAAATTTCTCTTTTTTTTTAATACTTCGTAAAATTATAATGTCTCAAGAAATGCGTATTATAAATAAGAAATAATTTAGCATGTTTTCTTGCTAGATTGCGAATTACCATCTAATATGTAAATATAATAGGTTTGAATTCATATTTGAATACGACATATATTTGAAGGCGAAAAGTCGTCATTTCTATTTTAAAATTGTTAAATATATAAAAATATCAAATTTATGTTGTACAAACCCTAAAATTCTAAAGTTTTATGTAGTCTACTTTATAAAAATGGTTCCTTTAACCCATATTTAATTTACTAGATAATATTAATAAAGTTTTGCAAATTTATTATTATATAATTTTACAATTATTAAAATATTCAACATCTGTTATAAAATTTATTTTTGCATTCACGCATAATTTTTTGATTTACCATGCGTAGAAATTTATTAAAAAAATTAAATTTACCTATAAGTAATCTATATTATTACATGAATCAATTCCTTAAAATTATTTAGAACTTTAGTATTTTTCAATTTTATAGTAGAATAATTTAATCCAAATTAAATTGAGGGATAATAACTACCTTAATTAAAATAATTTTGATTTATTAATATCCTTTAAAAATTTTAATTGTATAAAGTAATTTTGTTATTAGATTTAAAAATATAGAAATAAATTTCACATAGTCTATTATTTATATTTCAAAATGTAATCATAAATAATATATATATATTTTTTTTGACAAAGTTAAAAGGCTTCAACTAGTACATAAGTATTATGGAATACCAATGGATGATACAGATTTACATCAGCAAGATTCATCTAAGATTACTAAAGAGTATAGGTTTAAAATTATATGAAATCTTATTTGCATTATTTATCTTATTCAGATTTATATATCCAGAATTCTTACCAAATAACAATGACTGGACAAAAAGAAATAAGTTATGTGAAATGTTAGAGAGAAAAGACATGATTAAAAGGAGAATGAAAATGGTTATCCCAGAATTTTATGTGGGTATGATTAATTTAAAAAGCTTATACTATATATTTAAATAAATAAAGGGACTATTATGAGTGTAACGGTTGCAGATCCATATGCAGAGGATAAAATCAATAAATTTATGGGAGTATGTATCTTACGTGGTGAACATGGCATGAGGCATTTTTTCATTCTGCGAAACATTATTGACAATCTAGGTATTGATTTAATATCGAAAATATTAACCTTACAAAGTTTATTATTCATTAACCATTTTTTTTAAAAAAAACTTGTTTGTCAGAAAGATACTCCCCCCCCCCCCACCAATTTATTTTCTTATATATTTATATGAAATTGTGAAGATATTGCTAATTGACTGGATCTATGCAAATGGTTCAACTTATTTAGAGAATATATTTACATTATTAAAATTAAGTTATTTGATAAAGTTGGAACTGGTACAACATTTCAAATTTTTGCAATTAAATCCTCTGAATGAGTGGTCTTGGCTCAATCTAGCTGCTTAACAACACTAATGAACACATGTGAAATAATTGTATAGCTTATAAAATAACCATATGCCAGTTTTTGCGTTCCAGCATTATGAATTGAAAAATATAAAATGAATTGTAAAAAAAGGTATATAGTACAGAGTCCTGCAGAGGCACCATTTGCACGGCCTGGCCCGGTTTCAAGTTTCAAATTTTTTAGGCCCGGCCTGGCCCGGATATTTTTTAAAAATTTTTTTTACGGCCCGGCCCGGATTTAAAAATTTAGGGCCTGGCCCGGATAAATTAAAAAAAAATTTTTTACGGCCCGGCCCGGATTTTAAAATTTCAGGCCCGGCTTGGAATTTTTTAAAATTATATTTGACCTGGTATATACAAAAATTCAGCTATGAGGTATTTTACCATATATATTTTTCAGCAAGTATTATTGCTTATTATTTAAAAAATACATGAAAAAAGCTAATATTTTGAGAATATTATATTGAATTTATAAAAATTATAAAACTGTTATTTATAAAAATGGATATTTTGAGCATATACTATATTTTTTGCATTTATAAAATACAACTAATATTCATAAAAATGGTAATAATATTTTGAGCATATACTATATTTTATATTGCATTTAAAAAAAATAAAACTAATATTTAATTTATAAAAATGGAAAATATTTTGAGAATATAATATATTGTATTTAATTTATAAAATAAAAATAAATCGCTATTTAAAAAAATGCATGTATAATAAATAGTATTTTGAAAATATAATCTAATTGCACAATATTAATATAATTTATTTTATAATTTTTAAATATTTTATATTACATTTATAGGTTGGTTTTTCAGGTGTAAAAAAATTTTTTTAATTTTCATGGATTTACCATCACATTTATGTCTTTTTAGATGTGATGTACCATGTTTATAATTCTAAGATAATATACTTGAACAATTCTTATATTGTACGTAGCCAAAGTTTTTTTATTTTCATCTATGATGATGTTAAATTTAGCCCATATTTCAGATTTTCAATTATTATTTGTATTTCTAAAAGAATAAATATTATTTTTAATTTTATTAATTATATCATTAGTATTTTGTGCCATGATATTCCTTTATTTGATTGTTATGGTAAATATTCTAAAAATTTAGATATGAATTATAAAAAATATATTATTAATACTTGAATATTGGGGCTTATTTAAGATATTCCTTTATTTGATTGTTTTGGTAAAATATGTTGTAAAAATTTAGATATGAATTATAAAAAAATATATTAATACTTTGAATAAATTTGCAGGAAATTAATAATTAGATCGATCTGTGGGTGTTAGGTGTGTTAACCATCACCTAATATTATGATAATCATAACTATAATTTAATATAATCTTATAACCATTAACTCATAATGTAAAAAATTTTATAAAAAATATTAAGGCCCGGCCCGTAAAAAAAATTTTTTAGGCCCGGCCCGGGCTTAGAGCCGGGCTTGCAGGTCTCTGATATAGTATATATATAAAATGGTATATATATATAATATGAGTATGCCACGAATTAAAATAATTGTGATATACTGATAATAATCTACCATGATTCTTTTTAATAGTAATGCCAATTATAGCATCATTAAATTCATCATCCAGATCCAGATGAACGTTAATTGTATGACCTAACTTCTCCATTTTGCTTTGTTGTCCTTTGTGCATCCTAAGGTGTTTAAGATTTTAAAAGTTGAAAATGAAATCTTCTCCTCAACACTTATTAGGGAATGATGGCAGACATTCAAATTAATTTATTTTACATTTGTTGACAACCTTAGTGGATCACATTATTTTTATTGATTCAACAAAGTTGTCTACAATTTCTTTAAAAAAAATATAATGAATATATGAGGGAGAAATAATAACTTTTGTATATTCAGAAAATATTTCATTTCTTAATCTTCACTTTTTTTACTAAATAATTTCTTAAATCTTAATTTCTTACTTAATACTTTTATTTTCAATAATAATAAATCAAAAACTTTAAAAATTAAACAAATTTATAAATTCTTTTATTTTTCATCATTTTAGGATGAAAAAAAAATCCGAATGACAAAATATGATAATTCTTATTAAAACAAATCTATCATAAGAAATATCCTTTTATTTTCTCCGACCAATCAACAATAGGCAATATTATTAATTGTCGGATATATTAAAAAATATTGCAAAATATACAAATACTGGGACATTTCGTATTAATATTTGTTAAAAAAGGATCATGATTAAAATTATTTGACGAATTCTATTTTAATTTGGATAGCTGCTTTGATTTTTCTATATGTATAAAAAAAACCCCTTTCATGATGTGAAATCACAATTTTTTTTTTAAAAAAAATTATTCAATTTTGTGATCTTCGTAAGATTTTTTTTTTTTGCTCAAAATTCTTGGGCAGATAAAATAAATAAATATCCTAGTTATAAAGATCTCGAAATATGACTGTGTTTTGATGAGTTTTCTGGCAATAGTTAAACATAATGGGAATCCATCTAGCCTACGGCTCGATTTTTTGAAAAAGCTAACCCAATATTCTAGCCAAATAATAGAGTTAGGGTTGGGTTAGGGATAATGTTGTTAAAAGGCTCGTTTCGAGCCTATTTTTAAAAACGGCTAACTCAATATTTTCGCGCCAAGCCTCGAAATTTCGATACTATATGTTTAGACCTTTTACTCCTTCTACGAACAAAATTTTTCAGGCTTGCGTAATATTATTTCTGGTGGATAAAATGCTGTGTTAGCCGTTTTTAACTCAAAGCGAGCCGTTTAATAACACTAGTTAGGGATGAGTTAGGTGGAGATTTTGCTCATAGAAGGCAGAAACGTTTGAGCATCTATAATCTCGAGGTTCGCGTATTTTTTTTTGGTTAAAATACTAGCTTAGCCGTTTTTTTTTAAAAATCGAGTCGTTTAAAAAACATTAGTTTAGGAATTGGGTGCTAAATTTCGATGTTTTTGGTATGAATGGAAAGATAAATATTAATGTCTTAAATATAAATTAATACTTTAGTAATCCAATTTTGGTAATCCAAACTATATAGTAAATAAAAAAAAAATGAATCAAAATCGATTCACAAATTCGGGGTTCATATATGTTAACAGATTAAATATTCACAAAAAAAAATTAATATTCAAAAAAAATTTTATATTCAAAATTAAAATTAACAATAATATTCTCAGTACATTCAAGTTCGTTAACAATAATATTAATATTCGTCTCACATTTTAATATTCAAATCATAAAATAAAAAAATTCTTTTTTATTCAAAAAACTTCATAACTTTAACATTGGGTAGATAGGTTACAGCCCTAAAATTAATCGTATATTTTTAAGGTGTCGAGGTGAGCTATGAAATGTACAATCCCACCATTCTGTCTATAGACATAATCAAACTGGAAAAAAGGCTCGATGATCATTTATTGTACTTGAGAGATGCCCTACCTGAATATAGCACATTCGATGTTAATATGCCCAAGGTTTTCCATTCCGCCAATGATCCCGTTCCCGTCAATCCCTTAAAAGTTTTTTCTTTCTTTCTTTCTTTATTTATTTATTTTTATTTCAATACGATAAAAAAAATATTAGTAAATAATGTATTTACTACGGGTAAATTCAATATCTTATTTTGTATATATAATTTTATGATTTATATTTGAAGGTGACTTTCAAACCCAAACCTTGGGAAAAGAGATGGGAGCGATGCGATCTCCGAGGTGTTCAGGATTACGCTTCGCTGTTATCGGAAAAGGATGTTAAGCGCAAGAAGAAGTACGCGACCCCTTGGGAAAAATTCGATATAATGAAGGAATACAGGGCCGCCATACCTAAAGAGGAACAGGAAAAGATATTCGAAGAAATAAAACTCAAGGAAAAAGAAGATTCGTACCTGAAAAGTACCTCCAAGAAGGTATACAAATCCTGAGACAGATGAGACAGATAATTATGCACCATAAATTAATTATTTAAGTTATATTAAAAAATAATGTGATATTCATTAACGTTGTTTGTGTTGTGGGTTTTGTAAATATAATATTGCCTAATTTTATTTTATTTATTTTTTTAAGGGAAGGGAGGGGGGGGGGGTGGGGTTAAATATTCGATTTGTAATATGCAAATTATTATTTAAAATCGTGATAAATTTGATAAGAAAAAAAAATATATATATACTTTATTCGGGGATAGGCATCGTAATGAATACCCGATTCAGGTTCGGTTTGGAAGAAATACTGGGCATCTGTTCGGTTGGAATCTTTAACTTCGCCTAACAAACTCTTAGAATTAATAATTAATGGCATTTCAAGAGAAATAAGGCACTTAAAAAAGACGATTAAATAAGCCAATAGCGGTGAAATTATTAATCGGGGGAAAAAATATAATTAGTAGCCTAGAGAACAATTAAATAGATAGAAAAAATTAACTAGGGATAATTGATACATCGACATTTAAATTTTATATCGTTATGACCTTCTATAAAATACGGCTTTAAAATTTTTTATATAAACATCAATAATTATTGGTAGAAGAAATATCGCTTGAACTTTTAAAAATCTGAAAAAAAAAACACCGAAGTTACAATAAAAATTTATAACTACTATAGGGGCTCTATATCGAAAAAAAACATTAACTAGATAGGCGTATATTTATGTTGCTAAGGAGGTAAAAAAAAACAGCATATAGAATAAATCAATTATTTATAAATATTTATTTTGTAAATATAAAAGGATTATATTTCAAAATTTAGATGGCATTATTGCTTACTAATTTCTTACAGAAAAATAGTATAAGAATATTTTATGTAGATTACATTTTATCAAATAAATATATATGTTCATAAAAAAAAATTAATAAATCACTTTACCCAAATGAGTCTCTCATGTTATTAATAATATAAACAATTTAAGGAAATTACTATCTCGAATAAATAATAATATAAATATATAATCTCCTAAATAAATCTAAGGAGCACAAGAAGTAAATAAAATTTTTCTTTATCAAAAAAATCGTAGATAAAAATTATAAACGCGTTAGCGGTAGGCATATATATATATATATTGTTAAGGTTAATGAGTTTATATTGAGTAGCCTATTTATTACCTGAGTGGATGTTAGCGACTAGAGTTAAAACCACTCTAGTGTCTTAAAATTTCTAATGAATTTGTCGTAGATCACGGCTGCATTTAGAACGAATTTGAGAACCACAGAAAGTCTAGATATTTATCAGCATTAATCTCGATCCAGAGAGTTAACTTATACTAACATTTTCTAAATAAATGTTTTAATATATTCAAATAAATATACTAATTTAAAAAATCTCCAAAATTTTTGCATTTAATTATAAACAATAAAAAAAAGGCAAGATCTTTAATCATTTTATCTGTAAAAACCCTTTTAAAATTTAAAAAAAAAAAAATTAAAGTAACAAATGCGTTTACTATTTAAATTTATTAGTCGTATCAACGATGTCTATTAATAATTATATTATTTTAGGAATTATACAATTTCCCTTCTGTGGGCTCTTACATTTGTAACATAATCGTAAAAGATATATTATTGTATACATTCACTGATAACTAGTTAATAATGAAAGAAATCGCGAATAACATTCCGTACTAGTAGACGATAAAAATAAAATTTTGTATATGGATATCTTTTGTGTCTAAAATTATTTCGCAAATCTTCCTTCTCCAGCCAAATTTCTTTAGTCTCCCTATATGATTTACCATTTCTTTGAAGAATTATCTATCATATATTTTCCTCTTTACCCACCACCATCCCCAATGAAATTACCCGATATCTCTTTGCCGCCAAAAAGGTTTATCAAAATAATTCGCCTATTTTAATTATATAAGTAAAGCTATAAGGCACAAAAAAAAGAAGACAGATTAAAGGTGGCCTCAACGAAGAATTCTACTTTCGTCTTAAGATTTCTCTAGAAATTTTCCGATCCAATTTCCCTAAGTTTTCACTCTTCACTAGGGTGACATGTTCCCCCTTTTTTTTATATAAAAAGTTCTTTTATAAATGTTTTTATATATAATTCTTATGTAATCTTTTTTTCATACAATTTAAAATAGGGATCCGCAAAAGTAAGCCCGAACCCGACCGGCTCGGACCTAATATTTTTTTAAAAAAATTCGGGCCTGGTCGGGTCGAGTTTTTGAATTTTTTTAAAATATATCAAAATTTATTAATGAACATTTTATGTAAAATAAAAAATATTTGATTTTATTTAAAGAAACTAGATGCCATATAACATATGTCTTTTATTTTGAGTAATTATAAAAATTAATTTCTATATTTAAATAAATTCGGGCCGTGTCGGGCCGGCAAAACTTTTTTAAAAAATATTTCGAGCCGGGCCGGGTTTGAAAAATTAGGCCCTATGCAGATCACTAATTTATAATCTATTCTTATTTGTTTTTTAAAAAAAATATATTTAATTTTTTATATTGGTTAAAAATAATACTAAAATTACAAAAAAAATTATTTTTTTTTATTATTATAATAGCAAAAAAATAATAGTAAATGTTTTAATATTTTATTTCAAAAAGGTACAATCAGAATATTTATATTATATTTTTAGAGAATTAATATTTGAATTAATTTTTAGTTTATTCCCAAAATTTGGTACCTGTTAAACATGCAATTATACAATACTGTTTTTTTTTACTATAATCAATAAATTAACTTACCAATGAGGAGAGTACTAATAAAATTAGCGAGCTATTATTAAGCATTGTGTTTTTTAAGGTTTTTTTTTAATATAAATTTATTAACAAAAGAAAATTTTAAAATTTAAATAAAAATTAAATTCTTTTTAAATATATATATATGAATAAAAATATCTTATGTAGATCTTTATTAGAAGAACCAAGAATTACAGATAGTGACCTTGGATTATCTTTTAAAATTTCCTGTTAATTTCATAAAATTTGATTGAGAGATTAATTAGATTTCTAAACCTTTCTGATAATTTTAGCTAGGATTTAGAATTTTCTTTATTTGTTGTAATAAACAAAAATTTAACCATTAAGCTATGATCCATCTAAAATTAAATAAATTTTGACCAAATAAAAAAGAATTAAAAAATATATTGCAGAGTTAATCGATACTCTATCTAGATACAAAATTGCCGTATGTCGCCATTTATTGATAATTCTTTCAGAGTTGTGATTTTGACTTAAAAGTCAGGAGTCGTAATTAGGGATATGCATGGGGCCTTTTCTTTTTAGTCCAATCGTTACGATAAGATGCTATAAGGTTTCAAATATACAACGAAATTGGAAAGGTTATAAGCGCTGAAGGATAATGTATAAATTAAAAGCTATTCTTAAAAAGAAATAATATTCATGAAAATAAACATTAAAAAGGAAATGGCAAAATAATTTAAAAATTTCGTGGAGATTCTACTCCAGTCATGAATAAGTGATAAAATTAACTGATCGAGTTCGCTCGACTTGTAATGGTATTCCAATTCGAATATCCAATTTTATTTTATTTTATTTTTTCTTACTAAAGGAGTTTTACAACTCTATAATAATCGAATTACATTCATAAAATTACTATGACTATTTGAATTTATACAATAATATCACATATCCTTGCCAAACAAATAGTTCCATATTTTTCCCAATCTACATTTATCGCACAAAGCTGAATGTTGAAAGATTTTTTTTATGCCAATCTAAATTAGCTTAAAACTATATAAGTGACAAGGTTTCAAACATACCGATCTGGGCTAATAATCAAAGCTTAAAATCCGTTCCAATTTTGAAATGGTTGAGAATAATAAATAAGACGCTTTAATGACAATATTGCTACCAATATGCGGTTTTTCAATTTTAAAATATTCAAATTTCTTAGATTGGTTGATCAAGTCGCATTGCTTTTGGGTGGTGAGAGTAGGATGAGATTTGGAAGTTAAAATTTAGTTTGCATTTCTGTTTCTTTGGCTATCTTGAATTGAGAATTATTAGATGATGGCAAGGATACGTAGGGTGAGAGCCCCGACGATATCTTTATTGGAGTTGAAGGTAACTTTTTCGGGCTCTTGGCAATATGTCGTGAGGATACTTTAATAGATGTACCTTCTTGAATTGTGGATGCATGTGGAATGTCTGGTTTTAAACCCTTCTGTTACTTTATCCTTTTGTAATGATGATGTAGGATCAATACCAAATATAATATCATCATCATGCATTGAATTAGGAAGATTTCTATCATTAGTTTTAGGTGATTTCTCGATAGCTGGTTTATGTGAGAAACTAGGCCTTGCTTCATTATAGAGATCTAGTTCTAAAGGTTTTGACTTAACCCTAGATTTTATCGCTGGCTTTTTGTCAAAGGCTATCCTTTTCTCGCTAGGAAATAATTTAGAATTATATAATGTACAATCTCTCTAAATTTCAAAAACAAATTCTTCTAGATAAATTACAGCAAATAAAATTAACTCCATACCTCTTTGATTCCTTCTTCGGTTTAGGGTTTTTCATCGTCTTTATCTAATATATCGATAATAAACAAAAAATCAATTTTTAAATTTTTATATATAGAAACTAATAAATCAATAGGATTTATACCATCGTCATTCTATGTTTGGGTATCTTCCAAATCGTCTGAAGCTTCAGTACTATCTGAGAGTTAAGGCTCTCCTTATTTTTTCCTTTCCCACTTTTTTTTCCTTTTTCTTTTTCTTTTTCTGATTATTCTTAACTTTATCTTCATATTCCGTCAAAAAATAATACTTCAGAGCACCACTGTTTATTGATGATCCTATTTTCATAAGAATTATTGGAAAACTATCCAAAATTTATCCAAGAGGCCAGCAAAAAAATTTAAGAGCTTGGCCCCTCACCTCATTGGATTTATTTATTTTTGATTTTTCAGTGGTGATTTTTATTCTTAGCTTATTTATCTATAAATTATCTACCAACGGGCTAAAGCACTAAAATGCCCTATGTATCAATCATTAATGTGAGTTTTCTGAGTTATGTTTCCAAGAAACATGACTGTATTTACGCGG